CAGTCTCTCTCTTGCCCCGTAAGATCCGTCTGCCCTCTCTGGTTCACATATTTCACTCGACCTTTGCCACTTTCTGTTTTTACTCGAGGCGTTATTACCTCTCCTCTGCGTCTAAGGCACTAATTCGAGGCTAAAGCCTCTGAGTAAGTCCAATGGTCAGGCCCTTGTCTCATGGACCACGTCTCTTGTATAACCTACTGTCAACACACTAGCTCCCATTTCAGCCGCGTCTATCCTGTTTCTATCTCTAATACCAAGTCTATGACTTACTATAGCCTAGTCTCTTGTGTGCCAGACCCACAAACATTTGTGGGTTGGCACATTGTGCTACGAATGGTAAAACTCACTGACGATGCCGACTACGATGCCGGCGAAACGTCTGGGAATGTACCGCGTCCACGGACTCATGACAAGTTGCTTTCCTATTAGTCTTCCTATCAGTATGACCAAGTTGCGAAAACAAGGTCAAACAATTTCTATACTACGGAAGGAGACTGCGACCACAAAAAAGGCCACACCATCTTGTTCTTATACATTCAAATGTTTGTTGATCCAAAAGTCAGAACTGTCTGAACACAGAACAAGGAGGACATCCGATAGAATAATATAATGCCAAAAGCTTAGCTGGATATAAAGACTATGCCAGTGAGCGGCAAATTATGGAAATTATAGAAATCTATAAATCAACCAATACCCTAAATAGAATGAACGAGTGTGGGAAATAAAGTGCAAACTGTCTGTGGTTGTTTGATAGGATTATAGCAAAAGGATAAAAGAAGTATGGCCGAGCAAGTGGAGAGTTGATTAGTCTCAAAATTGGTTTTCGCTCTCAGGACCCACGAGTCTCACGAGCATGTCATGCACACAACACAATTGTAATGGAACGCAGCCACGTGCGGCACAACTGCAGGATAAAACAAAAGTGTTATAGGGGAGGATGCAGCAATTCGGTCACAAATGCATCCATTCTACGAATTAATTGTGGCCACTTCACATGTCATCCGCAACCGTTTCGCTTTTCAATAGCATGAAGGAAAAGCGATGGATCTTCAACCAAATAATGAGATGTCTTACTAAGTGGACCCAGCCAAACTATAAAAAGTAGGTAGGATTGTAGTTGGCCATTTGTATTGTCTTTGCGCTTAAAGAACAACCGTAAAGCATGGTGTCCTGCTCTGACGTTGTCCATAACATGAAAGATGAAAGTTCATAAAGGATAAATAGGGGTCGCAGCGTGGTGCGCTAAGGGCTTATTCGCACAAATCTACAATCACAACTCCAAAGCAATCACATTACAGCATCCAGTGAAGCAAACTTACAAATACCTTCCACTCCCCTCTTTAACAAAATTAAATTAATTTATTAATTAAGGGATTCGTCAAAATAAGTTTTTTTACATGTAATCAAGAAACGTTCTTGACTTTTTGACGAGCTGTAGCTGGATGCTAAGAATGGCGCTTCACACTGACGATACAAAAGTAATGTATAGTCACCAGTGCGATGTAGTAGATGAAGAATAAATGAAAACTTATCGATGTCTCCCTAAACTACGACCAAGTTTCAGAAAAGAGTAAAATACTGCGATAGAGACTGGAACAAAATCTAATGCCACACCAATTTGCTCTTAATATCTATGATTAATTTTAATATGTAAACCATTATATAATTATTAGTAAAAGCATTATGGCTCAAAAATTGGTGAGGCAATAATTTTATGACTTTAAAATCTTCATCCTAATACGCAATCTTTAACAATGCCCTAAGATGAACGATCAATTTCCCTTCATACCAATTTAAAGAGATTTAATCAAATCCCCTTTTTTACTAGATCTTGCCCGAAGTCATCAGTCAAGTAAATATTGTCTAATAAATATACTTGAATATCAACAGCGTTGCTGCGAGCCACGATATCAGCTGGATGCCCAACGCCGTCTGCTTGCCGATTAGAACTGATAATGGCATCTTCAGAGGAAGCCAGGCCTCTATCCGTCGCTCCTCTTTTTTGCCGGGCTCGCACAATGAGCCGAGCAGTACCTAGACTTGAGCCACGCACAGGAAACATGGCGATTCCGATAGAGTTGTGGGCTTCCAGATTGGTAGGCTCAATCCATAGACCACGCGAAGCATTGCGTCTAAGATGATCGAATAGAAGCGTCAGAATTGGAGTAGCTCGGGATTTAACTTCGACTTTATCAACTGATTGCACACCAGAAAGTGGTGTATAGCTAACGAATAGATCGATTAGCCTCGAGAATTGGTATGGCAGAGGCTCTCCTTCTGAATCAATTGACTCAACCCTAGCAATAGCCTGCGAAAAAGCAA